CTTTTACACACAGTCTACCCGCCATCTTTCTTTATATTACCAATCTTTTTTTCAAATTAACTTTGGTTACAATCTTAATAACATCAAGTCCTCTCCACCCTTGTTTTACCATGACTTGTAACTAAAATATATATATATATATATATATTGTAACAAAAATAATAAAAGTAAAAAACACTTCAATATATTAGGAAAAAGTCATAACAGTAAAAGTAAATTTTTATATCTAAATAAAGTTGAAGCGATGACAAGAAAAAAATCATCAATATAAAACATATTTATCTCAAGTTAATTATAGTTAATTAAAAAATATTATTATCTAATAAGGTTTTCCCAAAAAGAGCATTTTTGAAAAATATATGCTTAATGTGTTTTATATAATAAAAAAAACTTGTTTTTAAAAAGTTTTGAATAAAAAATATTTTGATGACTCGCTCAAGACCCTTAGGAACTTGTTATGTTCCTTTTAGACCCTAAGGAACAAGTTCCTAATATTAAAAAAAAATTATTTAAGTGTATCATGTTGGGTCTCAAATAAAGCAAAATTATATGAAAATTTCAATGTTAAATTTAACACCATAAAAAATGAAGTTTATTACCTAAAAAAGAAAATAGTGCATTTTTACTAATTTTTTTCAATAAGTTTTTTATAATATAATTATCATATTTGAAATTTTCATGATTTCGCTTAATTTGAGGTAAAATGTCAAGATACACTTTTGAAGATTTTTTTTTGTTGATCATTCTTGGTCTTGAGAAACTCCAAAAAAAAACTTTTATTCAAAAAATATTTTGGCGAAGAAAATTTTTTAGATTTTTGAAGATCGTTATATGTTTAAGGGACTCCAAAAATATTTTTTCTTTCAAAAAATTTTAAAACTAGTGTTTTTTTTTATCATATAAAACACATTTGGAGGTAGCAGCTATATTTTTTTTAAATATTGTTTTTGGGACGAACTTATAAGTATGAAGTATTTATCATCAAAACGCAGTGTGAACAATTTTATTTTTATGCTCTAACTGGATTAAAAAATATTAGGTAACTTTAATAAAATTAATAATAAATAATAACATATAGCTGAATAAATTTAAAAATTTATCTTAGTAATAAATAAGCTGGTTATAATACAGTGCACTTAGGGTTCCAATCATGTGTTGAATTAAATATTTAAAAAGCCACATAAAATCAATATATATATATATATATATATATATATATATATATATATATATATATATACATATATATATATATATATATATATATATATATATATATATATATATATATATATATATATATATACACATATATATATATATATAATTATTCACCGCTACACCGACTACAGTCGAAGAGGCTACTTTTGTGATTACAACTCTTTCTATAACTCTGAAACAAGAACAAGGCCACTGCACGAGAAGCAAGTTGACAAACAAGTATATTATCACAGCTATCATGCAAATAACAAACAAAAAAAGCAAAATTTATTTTTAGTACCAAAATCTTTGTTCTTATATTATAAATATTAGTAATTTAGCTAATTTTTGATACTGGATGTAACAGTAAAATATATAAACAATATAAATATATATATATATATATATATATATATATATATATATATATATATATATATATATATATATATATATATACATACATATAAATGACGAACAACAATTGATTGATAAAACTAACACAGTATCCTTAAAGGCATACTCACTCTATTATATGTAGTTAGTAAATTTTGCTCTAACTGGCTTACTAAGCCAGTTAGAGCAAAATTTACTGACTACATATATATATGAATATATATATATATACATATATATATATATATATATATATATATATATATATATATATATATATATATATATATATATATATTTATATATATATATATATATATATATATATATATATATATATATATATATATATATATATGTATACATATATGAATATATATAAATATATATATATATATATATATATATATATATATATATATATGTATACATATATGAATATATATATATATATATATATATATATATATATATATATATATTTATATACATATATATATATATATATATATATACATATGTATACATATATGAATATATATATATATATATTTATATACATATATATATATATATATATATATACATATGTATACATATATGAATATATATATATATATATTTATATACATATATATATATATATATATATATATATATACATATGTATACATATATGAATATATATATATATATATTTATATACATATATATATATATATATATATATATATATATACATATGTATACATATATGAATATATATATATATATATTTATATACATATATATATATATATATATATATATATATATATATATATATATATATATATATATATATATATATATATATATATATATATATATATATATATATATATATATATATTAAGGGCTTAAATTATGAATAACAACTTAAAATTATGAATTAAGTATTATTATATTTTCATACAAAGCAGTCTTATATTAACAAGTAGATAATGTAGTGTAACAAAATATATTTCTTTTTTAAAGCTATGGTGTAGTAGAAATAAAAAAACTGCTATAGTGTAACAGAAATAAAAAACGAAATGTCATTGTTTTGCTTTTTATTTCTGCTGCACTATGTATGGTGTAGCAGAAATAAAAAACAATAATTCCCAAAAAATTTTCTATAAAATTTCACATGTTTAACTGTCTAAAATATTTTGTTTGATTTCTTGCTCTTAATGTTACATTCCAATTATAGCATTTGTGATCTCCCAGAAGCTTCATTTTCATCAATTTTCATTCACAAACAAGAGTTGGTAATTTTTAAAATAGCCTCAATACAAGATTTGCACAATTCTTTAACATAAGTTGTGCAAAAACTGGTTGCAGATAAAACTTTTGCTATGTATACTTTAGTAAAAAATCTAAGATAATTATATCACAAAAGCATTACACAAATAATGATCAACCTGCAAATATAATATAGAACTACTTTTAGAACTGTTTCCTTCATTAGTTTATGTGTTGAAGATGTTCCAGATTCAACGCCATTCCTTTCGAAAAGTTATTTAAATTTTGCCATTTGCAAATTAAATAAAAATATTTTATTATACTTTGTACTAAGTTTGTTGAATATTGCAACAAAAAAGTAAAAAATGCAGTAAAAAAGAATACTCTTATGCTAGGACTTTCCTATTTTTTTAAGTATAAATATGCAAATATATGTATTTAAAAGTTTATATATGCAAATATATGCACTTATACAGTTAAAAAAATGCATACTTGCATCATAACAAGCAGGCCTTTAATAACTTATTTTTTTATATTACTTCCAAAGAATTTTACTGCAAAAAAATATTTGCATATATAAACTTTTATATATGCAAATATTTCAGGTAACAAAAACATATATATATATATATATATATATACAAATATATATTATACATGTGTGTGTGTACAATAATAAACACACATAATGTGTATTATTACACACACACATACATATATGCGTGTGTGTAATAATATATGTACATATATATATATATATATATATATATATATATATATATATATATATATATATATATATATATATATATATATATATATATATACATATATATATATATATATATATATATATATATATATATATATATATATATATATATATATAAATATATATATATATATATATATATATATATATATATATATATATATATATATATATATATATATATACATATATATATATATATATATATATATATTAGTAAATATATTTATAAATAGCCATAACAGTAAAAACAAATTTTTATTTTGAAAAAAAGTTGAAGCAGTGACCAGAAAAATATCATAAATATAAAACATATTTATCTGAAGTTTGAAAAAAAAAATATTGAAATCCTACAGTCTGATTTTAAGAAAATTGATTTCAAATAAATAAACAAATTTATAATTTTCACTAAAAATTTGTTAATTGAAAATAAAGTTTAAGTGCTTTAAGATATTTTTTATCCTTTTTTTATTCATATTTTTGTGAAATTTTTGTAATAATATACTGATCTACATTAAAAATAAGGCTACAACATAGAGTTTTCAAAAATCAAATAACAAATAACACGGTTGCCATATAAAACATACTCTGTAGTTAAGAACCGTAGCTATTTTAAAAGTTCAAAAGTTTTTCGTATTTTCTCACGCATGCGTACCTAAACATAGCGCTCGTAAACGACCGTGTGTTATTAGTGACCAATTTTAAATGGAGACCAAAACTATACGGTGATGAACTTACATAACCGAACATTTTAGCAACATTATGTTAATCTCATTTAAAATTATATCAAAATAAATGAAAACTGATAATGAAAATTTTTAAACAGAATTAATGTGAATAATATTAGAAATAATTTTATAAAACCCATTCATTTAGAAGCTAAATTAACTTTAATTTATTACTTGTCAAAAATATTGTGATAGCTTAGAAAAATAACATCCATAAACAAAGTTAAGCTATAGTTAATACTTTTTACTCATTTTTTATCACAAAAATTGTAATACAATCACATTAAGATGTAATTCTTACATAACTATGTTAATTATGTCAGTTCTTAAATAATTATGTCAATTCTACATGGGATACAAAATTTCTATTAGATAACCACCAATGACAAGACTTTTCACAATTTTTATTTAATAATTGGGATTTGCATGTAACTTATAGTTGTAAAAGAGATTTGATTTTCATTATAAAATATATATAAATACATCTTTGTTTTGGCTTCCTTTAAGTTATTTTAAAGACATAAAAATTACATATTCAGAGAAAGGCGTTTTAAACAATACACGGCTAGAGAAATATTAATTATGGCTATTATTTAAATAGAACAAAAACATTAATATTTATTTAATTAAAAAATACTTGCCTCTTGGTCAGCTACATCACTAGCAACTTTCATAAATAAAGACAACTGCTTTGCTGATGTTCTTTAATCACCTATTTTGTTTAGTAACACAGCATAATTTAAATGAACAAACGGATCATTCCTTCAAAAAAAAAGATAAAAAAAAACCTATTGTAAGCAAATATCAAATCAAGAAAGATAAACAAAACATGAATCAAGAAACGAAAATAAGATACTTAGAATATAAAATCGATTGCTCATAAGCTTGCTTGGCATCATCCGCAGCATTTAAATACGTTAATGTAACTTAAAATAAAAAATAAAAAAATAGAAAATTAAGATTAAAACATATAAAATATAAACAACATTACTATATAAAGTATAGAAAAGATAATAAGAATTTATATCATTGTTGTCAAAAAATAAAATTTAAACTATTGAATACTAAATTATGTTTTATAAAAACTAAAATAGTAATGTATAAAAAGTTTTTTACCTGCTAAAAGCATAAAAAGTTGACCATTTTTAGGTTATATAGTAATACCTGTTTTTAGATAATGAAAGGCAGATGCATATCTTTTTCATAATTAAAGTTAATTTAAAGTTTTGAATCATAAAGTAATAATAAAAAGTTTAGGTTTGTTGACAGTAACAATTAAACCTGTCATTTCGAAAAGGACAAAAGTCCAAAACTTTTAACAGCTCCTTTAAAAATTTAATTTATAAAATTTCTGAACAATTTATGCTTTTTTTAAATAATAAATGATACTCACAAAAGCTATATATTTTGTTTATTTACTTCTATGTTTCTTTAACACTGTAGATTACATTTTTTTGAAACATTTTAATTAATGGACTAGTGTCCTTTTCGAACCGACAGGCTCAATATACCTATCCAACTTAAATTCTACCATTTTGTGCGGTGGGGACTGAACTCTAATTGTGTGGGTAAAAGTCAAAAAAACTTTCTAAATATCTGCATTTGAATTAGTATTTATTTGTATTTATCTCATCTTTTAAATTTAACACAATAGCAAGAGGTAACTGTGCAGTAATAGGGTGTTCTAATAGCAATTATAAACTTTTGAAGTGGAAAAAACATGAATGTAATGTTAATGAAGGTTTGAAAAAAGAACAATGTGGATGTAATCGCCCTTTCAATCTTTACCGTTTTCCAAGTTCTTTAAGAAATTCTAGAGAAAGAGAAAAGTGGAAAATTTTATTAAAAATGGAAGGTAAAAATAAAAAAAAATGGAATCCATCCCACAGTGATCGTGTGTGTTTAATGCATTGTGTAGATGGAACAACTACCATTGCTAATCCAGATCTTACTTTAAATATGGGATATAATTCTACTAATATTAAGCCAAGAAAGAGTTTAAATAAACGTTGTCCAAAATCAAATTTTTTACTTTTGAAAGGTATTAGCACAAAATGTAATGACACTAATAATACAACTGAAGATAATACTAATGAGTTATGCAGTAATAATAACAATAATGCAATTTATCTACCACCGCCAAGCTGTGAACATTCATATGCTAGCCAGTCATTGCTAAATATGTGTGAAGGATGTAATTCTAAAACATCTTTGATTGATTCTCTTGTTAAAAAAGTTAATTTCTTGAATATATCCTTGAAGCAACTAAACCAAAAACAAGTTAATCAAACTAAGAAATTATTGATTTTTTCATGCAACAAAGTTAAAACAGACAAAAAAATGAACTTTTATACAGGGATATCTACAATAGCTTTATTTAATGCCATCTTCTTATTATAGCATTTCTTCAAAAGCTTAGTTACTGGCGAGGACCAAAACATGTTCAGAATACTAGCAAATTAAAGCGCAGATTTCAGTCAACTAAATATAGAAAACTTTCTCATCATGACGAATTTTTTTTAACACTTATGCAACTTCGTCTTGGTATTTTTAATGAAGACATTGCAGAACAATTTAGAATTTCTCCTACTACTTCTTCTTATATATTTTCCACATGGATTAAACTTATAAGCAATGTGTTAGGTAGTGCTCTTATTGTATGGCTTCCACGTGAAACCATCAGGGAAAATTTGCCTAGGGTTTTTAAGAATGCAGGATATGACAAGTGTTGTGTGATTATTGATTTTGCTGAAATTTTTATTGAACAACCCAAGTCTCTCTTAGCTCAAGTCTCAACTTGGTCTAATTATAAACAACACAATATGTTTATGTTTCTTGTAGGAATTTCGCCTAGTGGTTTTATCACTTTTTTAACTGATTGTTATGGTGGAAGATGTTCAGATAATTTTATAACAAAAGACAGTGGTTTTTATGACTTGTTAGAGCGTGTCTGAAGTCACGGCAGATCGTGGATTTCAAATCCAGGAAGAACTTTTGTTAAGATTTTGTACTTTAATAATTCCTCCAGGTGCTCGTCTTAAAAGTCAAATGATTGCATCTGAATGTAAAAAAACTAAAAAAATAGCAAACTTAAGAATACACATTGAACAAGCCATTAACAAAATGAAAACTTATAGAATTTTAAAGAATGTTTTTCCTCTAACAATGTTGCGTCATATTGATGATATTGTGAGGGCTTGTGCTGCACTCTGTAACTTAAAACCAATAATTCAAGAGATGGAAGTATAAGACCTTAAAGTCGATAAATAATAGTATTCAAGGAATGTGTTAGCACAGGAACCTGTACTAATACCTTTCAAAACTAAAAAGTTCAATTTTGTACAAAGTTTATTGAAACTCCTTCTTGTCTTTATGTTAGCAATGGTAGGTGTTCCATCAACAAAATACATTAAGCATACACGATGACTGTGGCATGGATTCCATTTTTCTTATTATTACCTTTCTTTTTTAAAAAACTTTTCGCTTTTCTCTTTCTCTAGAATTTTTTTTTTAAAAACTTGGAAAACAGTAAAGATTGAATGGAAGATTACAACTACATTGATCTTTTTTCAAATCTTTATGAACATTACATTCTTGTAATTGCATATGTTTCGAAAAAAAAGGCAAATATGTTTGGTATGCGTTTTTTTTCTCCAGCAAGTCTAGGGTTAGGAACCCCTCCCCTTCCTCTGCCTTTTCAGAGCAGGCTTAACACTTGTAATAAAGGATTTTTGAAAAAAGAGCACTTTATAAAAGCAAATAAATATATTACTTGATTTTTATAACAAAATTTATGCAATACAGAGGACAAGTGTTAGAAGGAGAGAGTAATTGCTACAAAAAGAGGCGTCAACCTCCCCGCACATTCGACCTCGAAATGATTGATATTGGATAATCCTGGGGATTATCCAATATCAATCATTTGATATTGGATAATCCCTAGGGATTATCCAATATCAAGTCGGGACTGATATTGGACAATCCTGGGATTTCGAGAATATAAAAAAGTAACAGCCATATAATATCGAAACAACGATTTTTTTGATAAAACCACTGTTTCATTTGATCCTTTAGAATATATCTAAGTTAGTTTACTTATAATGTATATGGAATGTGTTATAAATTTTTTTAAAATATATGTATATAAATAAAATATATGTATGTAAATAAAGTATGTGTATATAAATATATGCATGTAAATATATATATATATATATATATATATATATATATATATACATATATATATATATATATATATATATATATATATATATATATATATATATATATATATATATATATATATATATATATATATATATATATATATATATATATATATATATATATACACATAAATAAATATATATATATATACATATATATATATATATATATATATATATATATATATATATATATATATATATATATATATATATATATATATATATATATATAAATGTGTATATAAATAAAAAAATTTTTTTAAAAAAATATATATAAATAAAATTTTTGCAAAAAAAATCATGTTGCAACATAATTTTTTGTATTTTTTAATTATTTCTTTAATTTTATAAATAAAAATTTGAAATTTGAAATTATTGACATAGTTGTCACTTTTGAAGTTGGGAGGAGGGTGGGGCTGAAAAGCAAATTAAGGGGAGCTAAGGCAGCCGGAATCAGAACTTTAATGGAAAAAACAGAAATTTGCAGAAATGTAGCCATATTTTTTTTTCTTATCAAATAAAAAACAAACTGCCGTATATTGTCACAGTGTCAAATGCTACTGAGGCAGTCCAAGAACAAAAGTTAGATTTTCCTAGTAGCAGGAAAACCTGTCAGGTCAGGTTTTCCTGCTACTGGTAACATGTAACCCAGTACAACCTGCTCCATGTCCTGCTGCCTTGTAGGATACGCTTTTTTAGGCAAAGGCTAGGAGAAGTTAACTCCGAATTAAAACACCCCCTGCCTTGGGGCTCTTGGTTGAGTAAAGGCTAGAGATGGTGTCTCGATAAAAATACTCATCTTGGGCAGATGTTACATGCATCCAGCTGCTGTCTTGTAGAAGGCCTCCTAGGCAAAGACTTAAGGGGTAAACAGATTCTATCTGTTGACCAGCCTCGCACCCCTTCCTCATCTATTAGGCTGGCGCAGATGTATTTTTAATACATTGTTTCCAGTTTAGGATGTTGAACGCTGGATCTTCTTGACTCAATGAGTGGGTATTGCTTGTGTCTCTATTTTTATGACTGGGCAACTCATTCTATTATCTCCTAATGAGGGTACAGCTCTAAAACTCAGTTTTATGGTTCTGAGGCCGGCTGGTAGTCAGGTTTCCCGAACTCTGTGGTAGCTCTCAGAGAGGCTGATTCCATCAACAGCTGAAAAATATCAGAGTACTAACAGTGCCATGTTGCGCATGGATGGTGTCCCTGTTTGCACTTTTGGTGTGCATTGCAGAGGTCACATTTGGAGCCCTTTGTTACGGCTTAGGGTTTATTAATAGTAATGAGGCTATTGCTTAGTTGTTAAATAGTGTACTGAGTACTATCTATACTTGAGTCAAGTTCTTTATAAATTTAAAATGACTAAAGTACCTAAAACTAAAAAACACAAAAAACCATCGTCATCACCAAGTTCTCTAAACCTATCATTTACTAATATTCGTGGTCTTCGAAGTAACTTTTCTTCTGTTGAGTCTTATCTCTTGCAAAGTTCATCAGACCTACTTGCTCTTTGTGAGACTAATTTGAGTTCGGCTGTCCCATCTTGTGATCTTAGTGTTGATGGTTATCTTCCTCTAATTCGTAAAGACTCCAATAATCACATGCTTGGCCTGGGCATCTACATTCGTAAGAGCTCACCCATTTGTCGTGAAACTAGGTTTGAATCTACAGACTATTCATTTATGTGCTTTCGTTTAGCACAAATTCACTCTATCGCCTTTCTCTTTGTTCTATATCGCTCTCCTTCATCCCAAGATTGCACTATTCTTGATGTTATTTCTGATCAAATTGACTAAGCCCTCTCTCTTTATCCATCGGCCAATATCGTCGTTGTTGGTGACTTTAATGCCCATCACACCGATTGGCTTGGCTCTAGTGTCAGCGACTCTGCTGGCGTTAAGGCCCTCAACTTTTGCCTTTCTCAATCTCTAACTCAAATAGTCAACTTTCCAACTCGTTTTCCAGACAACCCTAATCATTTACCTTCTCTACTCGCCTTATGTCTTGTTTTGGATCCTAGTCAGTGCTCAATTTCTCCACATTCACCCTTAGGTACTTCTGATCACGGTTTGATCTCTCTAAAACTATTATCAAATTCTTCTACTTCATCAGAATCCCCCTATCATCGTACCACATACAACCACCTTAAAGCTGACTAGGACTCTTTCCGTGATTTTCTTTGTGATGGCCCTTGGGTAGAAATCTTTCGTCTTCCTGCTGACAAATGTGCTTCTTACATAACTTCGTGGATTCAGGCTGGCATGGAATCTTTTATTCCCTCTCGACGATTCCAGGTCAAGCCTCACTCTTCTCCTTGGTTTTCCTCACATTGCGCTGCAGCAATTTCTAATCGAAACCGTTACTTCCATATCTATCAGCAAAACAATTCTCCAGAAAACAGACATCTGTTCACTATTGCCAGAAACCATTGTAAAAAGGTTTTGTCTGACGCCAAAGCTCGCTATTGCCATGTCATTAAATCTCGTATCTCATCACAAAAATTAGGCTCTCGAGACTTCTGGAGAATCTTTAACAGTATCAATAATAAGGGCAAATCTGTTATTCCTTCTCTCTTGTATGGTTCAGACTTTGTCACCTCACCTAAAGACAAAGCTGAATTGTTTGCTAAGAACTTTTCATCAATATCATCTCTTGATTCCACTAGTTGCGTTTTACCTGACATAGCCGTCAAACAGGTTGATCCCTTGCTTGACATTCGCATCACTTCAGCTTCTGTATCTAGAGTAATTTCCTGCTTAGACTCTTCAACAGCTTGTGGTCCTGACAACATTCCTGTTGTAGTCTTGCAGAGGTGTTCTCCGGAGCTTTCATCCATACTTTCTAAACTATTTAACAAGTGCTTATCAGAGTCTTGTTTTCCATCATGCTGGAAAGCAGCATCTGTTATCCCTATTTTCAAAAATTCCGGAGAGCGATCTGATTCATCTAACTACCGTCCCATTAGTCTTCTTCCTGTCATAAGCAAGGTTTTTGAATCTTTAATCAACAAACACTTAATCTCTCATCTTGAATCAAATAACTTACTTTCTGATCATCAATATGGATTTCGGTCTTCTCGTTCTACAGCTGATGTGCTAACAGTAATAACCGATAGGTTTTACCGTGCATTAGATAGAGGTGGAGAGGTTAAGGCTATTGCACTTGACATTTCTAAAGCTTTTGATAAAGTTTGGCATGCTGGTCTTCTCCATAAGCTTTCTTCTTATGGTGTAGCTGGTAACGTCTTTAAGATTATTGAGTCCTTTCTTTCCAATCGTAGTATAAAAGTTGTCCTCGATGGACAACACTCTTCTTCACATCCTGTAACTTCAGGGGTTCCTCAAGGTTTAATCCTTGGCCCTATACTCTTTTTAATTTACATTAACGATCTTCCAGATATTCTCACATCCAAGGTGGCATTATTCGCTGACGACACTACCATTTACTCTTGTCATGATAAGAAGCCTACACTCTCTGATTGCTTGGAGGGGGTATCTGAGCTTAAAAAAGGACCTCACTTCTGCTGCAGCATGGGGCTCACAGTGGCTGGTGAACTTTAATTCAGATAAAACTCAATTTTATTCGGCCAATCGTTATCGTAATAATTTAGATCTTCCTATATTTATGAATGGTAATGTACTAGATGAGTCATCTACCATTCATCTTCTAGGATTAACTCTTACTTCTGATCTTTCTTTTAAACCATATATCAAATCCATTGC